ACCATGAAATACTACACAGGGTCTATCAGTAGTATATCATGAGGTTTAAATACTACACAGGGTCTATCAGTAGTATATCATGAGGTTTAAATACTTTAAAAGACAAAATATGAAAAGTTTTGGCTGAAGTAATGTCGGTTATTAAACATGTCTGTGTGTATTATATACACATACAATACGTACACACACTCGTACAGATGTGATATAAAGAATGAATACTAAACGTTAATGAAGTAAAGATACACACACAGTGTTTATCTGTCGTCATTTTCACAATAAAAGAATCGTCTCTCTAACTCTGTGTTTCAGGCAACGCATCAAGTCCATGTTCTACCACGCCTACAACAGCTACCTCGACCACGCCTTCCCCTACGACGAGCTCCGCCCACTCACCTGTGACGGTCAGGACACCTGGGGCAGGCACGGCGAACGCTTTTACTTTGGTATCATTAACGTCGTGTTTTGGTTTGTGTGTAAAATTCTGTATTTAGTGAAAGTAATGAAACTCCCTCGCTCCGTCTCCTCCGCAGTTTCTCTCTGACGCTGATCGACGCTCTCGACACGTTACTGGTGAGATCTGGGAAAGAAAAACGTATCAGGTGCAACGTGAGAATCTTTTGTGCTGGTTTGAAATGTGAACGTGTCTCTGAAGGTTTTGGGAAACAGGACGGAGTTTCAACGTGTGGCGTCGCTGCTGCAGGACAACTTGGATTTTGACATCGACGTCAACGCGTCGGTGTTCGAAACCAACATCAGAGGTGCAGAGAGGGGGGGGGGGGGGTTCTGATTCTGACTGGAGGGTGATAGTTATGCTCAAATGTCCAACTGTGTGTGTGTGTGTGTGTGTGTGTGTAGTGGTGGGCGGTCTGCTGTCGGCTCACCTGTTGGCAGGGAGGGCAGGGATGGAGCTGGAGCCTGGTTGGCCTTGTTCGGGGCCGCTGCTGAGGATGGCCGAGGACGCCGCCAAGAAGCTGCTGCCTGGTACGATCACACACACACACACACACACACACACGATGTCTCTAAATGTTCTTCACAGTTCGACACTTTCGTTAATCTGAGGTTGTTGAACAACTCAAACGTAACATCAGTAAATGGTCTTCAGCGTTTCAGACGGCCACCGGGATGCCGTACGGCACCGTCAACCTGCTGCGCGGCGTCAGTCCCACGGAGACGCCGGTCACCTGCACCGCTGGCGTTGGAACCTTCATCCTGGAGTTTGCGACGCTGAGTCGACTGACCGGTGACCCGACGTACGAGAACGTGGCCCGTGGAGCTCTGAGGGCGCTGTGGAAGACCCGGTCTGACATCGGACTGGTGAGAAGACTTTCCTGTCTACTGTCTGTCTGTCTGTCTTAATGTCTGTCTGTCTGTGTTATTGTCTGTCTGTCTATCTGTCTACCTGTCTGTGTTATTGTCTGTCTGTCTACCTTTCTGTGTGAATGTCTGTCTGTCTGTCTGTGACAATGTCTCACTGTCTATCTGTCTGTCTGTCTGTCTTAATGTCTGTCTGTGTGAATGTCTCGCTGTCTACCTGTCTGTGTGCAGGTGGGGAACCACATTGACATCGTGTCTCAGAAGTGGGTGGCACAGGACGCTGGGATCGGAGCCGGAGTCGACTCCTACTTTGAGTATCTGGTGAAAGGCGCCATCATGCTGCAGGACGAGGAACTGCTGGACATGTTCCTGGGTGAGCAGCTCTATTTTCTCCCTCGGGGGCCTTTGAGCAAGGCAGCCTCGCCTGCATCCAATGAACTGAGCGGTCTGTGAAATCTTTTCCCAGAATACGACCGGGCCATTCAGAACTACACCCGGTTTGACGACTGGTACCTGTGGGTCCAGATGCACAAAGGAACCGTGTCCATGCCGGTGTTCCAGTCTCTGGAGGCGTTCTGGCCCGGCCTGCAGGTACAAGAACCTCAGAACATTCTTTCAAGTCCTGACGACGTCTTCATGACATCATCATAGTAATAGCGCCACCTGCTGATGTGTTTTATACTAATTGAATGTGCCGTCACCAAGAGATGACAGAGCGCAACCAACACCGTGTGTTGTGTTTTTCAGTCGCTGCTGGGGAACCTGGACGACGCCATCAGAACCTTTCAGAACTATTACTCCGTGTGGAGACAGTTCGGAGGTCTGCCCGAGTTCTACAGCATCCCGCAGGGTTACACTGTGGACAAGAGGGAGGGGTACCCACTGAGACCAGGTCAGTCCACGGACCAATGACAGCCATATCAAATATATCTATCAAATATTTATAACAAATATTTATAACAAATATTTATATCAAATATTTATAACAAATATTTATATCAAATATATATCTATCTATATATCTATAAATATATAGATAGATATATACACACATCAAATATAAGCAAACTAAGAAGGTAAATGTATTTGTTTGGTTTTTTAATTCTTCAGTTTAACAGAAATGATTATCACATTCTATCATGGGGGGCTTTTATTTTGAAAGTCAGTTGCAGATTAATGAACCAGTTTCTAATTGTTGTTGCAGAATTGATCGAGAGCGCCATGTACCTGTTCAGAGCCACAGGTGACCACACCTACCTCCAGCTGGGCCTCGACGCCCTCGAGTCCATCGAGAGAATCGCCAGGACGCCATGTGGATACGCGAGTGTAAGTTTGACGAGTACGACACGAGCGCGTGGTTCGTCTCTGGTGCGCTGATGATGTCATAACTTGTCTGAACTCCGTCCCGGATGTTTCTCTTCTGCAGGTTAAAGATCTGCGAGATCATCAGCTGGACAACAGGATGGAGTCCTTCTTCCTCGCTGAGACCATCAAGTACCTGTACCTGCTCTTTGACCCCGCCCACTTCCTGCACGGTGGGGGGACGGAGGGGGATGGGTCTTGGGAGGAGGGCGGCGAGGGGGACCAGTGTGTTTTAGGTGCGGGGGGGTTCATCTTCAACACGGAGGCGCACCCTCTCGACCCGGCGGCGCTCTACTGCTGCAGCCGCCACGCTCAGGACCGACGGGAGCTCCAAGACATCCTGCTCAGCTTGTCGCAGCCAAACCGCCAATCAAAACAGCCCGCCAAAGAGACCGAAGGCCCGCCTCCTGGCCAATCAGAAAGCATTGCTCTGAAACCGGGCGAGAAGAAGACTCCTCCCCTGCTGTCGTGTCCCGTTCAGCCGTTCACTGCTCGACTCTCCATCCTGGGACAAGTTTTCAGCGACACCTGATCCTCGCCGTCCTGGGTCACGTGTTCTGAACTGAACTGATCATTGGCTCCTGGACGCTGTCGTCACGACGACTGAAGCAGGCGTCCTGTCTCGTCCTGGATCAGAGAGACTGAACTTTAATTTACTCTGATGAATTTACTGTTTCTCTAATTTAAACTGAAGCTGAAATATATTTTTATTTATTAGACGGTTGCTTTGTTTTCTGTCTCTCTTGTTTATCGTCAGTAAGTCACAGATGTTTTCATCGGTCGACTGTGGATCGGGGAGCGGAGCGGGTTGTCCACCAATCTAAACTCTGCTGGTTTGAGTCCGGCTCCCTCAGTCCACATCTGTTTCAGATATCTCAAGAAACAAAGAGTCGCTGTGACCTCGCCGACCTCTTTACCTTGTGGAGTTCACCCAGACTAACAGATGAACCGACTACATTTGTTTGGTCAAAGGTCACTGTGACACACAAAAGATGCTCTTGGTGTCTTGACCACGATATCTCAAATCAGTCTTCAGGGAATTTCTTCACATTTCTTCACGTTCGTCACTTGGACTCAGGGTCAAAGGTCACGGTGACCTCATGAGTCGTGTACAGGACTGAAACTTCACTGGT